AAGGTTCTTCAGATTACAAAAATGCAAGAAAGAGATGGTTCTTTAAAGAACCTTTGACTGAATGGTTCTTTGTGGAACCATAAATGGTTCTTCTATGGCATCGCTTGAAGAACCTTTTGAAGCACCTTGATTTTTAAGAGTGTATAGGAACTGTATTTAATTTCATAACTCGAAAATAAAAGCTAAGCCAGCAGTAGTGGTCTGTCTGCCTGTCTGTCTGTCTGTCTGTCTATCTATCTATCTATCTATCTATCTGTCTGTCTGTCTATCTAGACATAACTACTTTTCCTATATTAAAGGCTTTCTATAACATTTTGAATTTTTATTTTTTTGGTTTCTGATCAAGTAAATTCAGCTTTTTTTAGTTAAATTTTTAGTTGTTCTCTGGCAAAAGGGTACATAAGCCAAAATCAGCTTTTTTTTTTTTTTTTAAAGTAAAATTCGTTTTTCTCTGGTAAATGGGAATATGATAAGCCAAATTCAGCTTTTTATTTAGTTCAGTTTTTAGTTGGTCTCTGTTAAATCGGTACATGATAAGTCAAAACACTGTTTGCATGATGTACACAGGATTCTTTCATTATTTATTTATTTACCCTAGTGCTCATGAAACAATGCATCCCATAAAAATCTGTCCCAGAAACAAGTGCCCTCTAATGGCAGGACATGTAACCGCCAAGATCCAAGACCACTCTCCTTGAACATGTCACGTGTGAAGTAAGGCAAAGCAGCGGAGCTGATGATTTATTGTTAAGAGACATTGTGTTTACAGTACATGCAGAATTCCTGGCCTGTGACACTATGATGATTGTTTCTATAGGAGATGTGGCTGACAAAATCACACACCAGAAGCATATACAACCTCTGTCAATAAACAGAAAGAACTGTCTTTATGAAAGCTATGTGAAGCACTCAACACAAAGCAAGTACTTTCCAATGCTCTTCCAGTGTGATACGGACGGTCTCCATCTGCTGGTAGAATCATGGAGGCTACATGATCAGTGCAAACTTTAAACATACTGATGTATGAAAGCGCACCATCATGTTATAAAGGTCAAAGTACTTTGTTAAACCCAAAGCACATGCTGAGGTGTTATTCTGCAACAGATGTTCTGAATAATAAAACATTAAATACAAGTGTGTGTGGGTGCATGTTCACAACCCAACAAGAAATGGTGTTTATAACACATCTTAGAGTAAAATGTGTTATGAATAAAGTGTTTATTTAAAATTTTTTCAATAAAAATGCTGAGCGGGACATGATTTTATCCATCAGGAACTGACTGGATTGTGAAAGATGGTTGTTACACACCTGAACGAGTCAGGTGGTTAGGGATGTGAAAAACAAAGAGGCCTTCAAAGAGGGAAGACATTTCTAAAGCATACATGTAACTATATTTTGATAAAACATTATGATGAATCCTGACATTATAATCATGACATAGAGGAACTTCAATATAGTGAATAATGTCAATTTTGTGCATGTCTGATGAAATGCCACTGAAGTGTGAACCAAAGTAACTTGATACAAAGTAATTCAATGAAGACATTTTTAAGAATACTGCACTGCATAAAGCAGCTCTTGTATTCATGAAGTCCAGGGAATGTCAATAATTATCCTTATGAATAAGTATAACAGCATATCTAATCTCATACAGTGTCTGATCCAAAGTCTTTCTCCATTGTCAGGCCAGTTTTATTGCTCCTAAGAAGGTGGAATCCCCATCCAGAGAGATATTTGCATGGGTTCGAGGTATCAGAAGCTCCAGTCTGTCCCCAGAGTCCAACTTCACTACGCCTGCACATCACACGCTCAGTTACATTCATTTGTAATAACAGATACATTATATATTTATTCATATATGCATAGTACTTCTATATAAGACATTTACATCACATTAATAGTATGCACAGCAATACATTATATGTAAAATACACACTTTGAAAGTAAAAAGTAATTATGATATGTCATATTTGGAATTTTCGGAATATATTTGTCATGCATTTACTGGTCTTATGCTATTTCTGGACTTCCTGACTGTGTGGTAACAAATGTGGTCTCGTTTCTGTCACTGGGTGCTTGTCACAAAAGAACATGTCTGGGTCATATTTCAACCCAAAACCACAAGAAAGAAATAAGAATGTAAGCAATTATATTTTGCTTAAAGGAAATGGAGCTTATTTTCGGACCAAAAGGTTCCTACATTTTTGTTGATGTAATTTGAAAAAAAAAAAAAAATCTCATTATACATCATCATATATTAAAAGCACCGATATTATAATATATATTCATAATAATGAAAATGAGATTTACACGTAAAGTGTCCAGATACATTACACTCTTTTGTAACACTGATACAGTAGCAGGACTTTCCACGCTCACCTCCAGTGTAGCAGGTGTTGAAGTGATTCACTCGATTCATGCTCTGAATACAGCGGAACAGAACAACGTGCTGACTCTCGTCTCCGACGACGTTCTTCTTTATACGAATCACGATGTGGCCCATAGCGAACGTAGAGTCTGTGTAGTAAACCTGGGAAAAGGAGAGCTTGAAATGAGGAAAAAAACACTGAGCACGGTGTTGGGATGTTTCAACAAGGCCAAAAAACTCAAGAATGTGTCATACATTGAGAATGTATATACCTGACTATAGATAAAGAAGAATCCTTCCTCTTTGACTAAAATGGTGCCCTGCTCTTCCTCCAGAGCTGTGCCACGCTTCAGTCCGACTTGCCATGGGATGGCTGTGCATATTTCCAAAGCAAACTCTGACAAAATAAGTAAATAAATAAAAAGTAATTTTTACTGTTGGGTCAGATCAAGATTTTAAATGTCTCTTCCTTCCATAATAGTTTAAATATTACGATAGAAACATAAAACAATCTGAGCTGGCATGTGCCACTCATACTGTTAAGATCCAACACAATATCATGGCACTTCATAGGTATTTTACGTTTTAGCGAATTATACGTTTTTGTACGAGTGACAGTTATGTTTAGAGGTTGGGTAAGGAGTGGTCTCTATGCTCATTTTTATTTTTTTATTTTACATTTTCATACATTTCATACATTCCACATCGTACGATTTCATACGAAATTGCCACTTCGTAAATTAATAAATTTTTCTTGTGAGATTAGGCTGTAAGATCAGACCAAAATAATCAGGGACTTTGTTCAAATTAAATGCTGTGCCCTATTTTAACACTAGGATTTCTCAGATGGATATGCAGAGTAGTAGGTGCTACATCTCTGCAGCTTTCCTCTTATTGCCTCACCACTGCAAGTTTCTGGACAGACATCACTGACATGTTATGGATGACGTGTTGATGAATTTGTCAGTGTGGCGCCACAAAATTGCAGAACATGTAATTGAAGGCCAGTTATAACAAATTATCTTTTTGGACTGGAAATGAAGTTTTGAGTTCTGAAAGTTACAGTGTGTTTTCACAGTACAATGAACTCTTTCATGACTCTAGCAAAAAGCAAGGTCATAACTGATAAAATGGATCACTTGAATGCAATTTAACTTAAGTCTATGCCAAATTTCATGGTATAAAAATACATTTACAATACTACGATTTTACAAACTCCTTCAGTACCCTTCTGGAAGGTTTTTCTCCTGTTGTTTGCCATCATTTGTAAACAGGGCTGGGATTCTGTGGAAAGATGTTTTCATAGGGTAAAAAATGACTGAACGTAAATGCATTATTATTAAACATTTCTTAAAGTATTGTCTGTAAGGGAAGAATGATTATGGCGGTGCAACTTCAATAATAATATTATAAGGGTTTTGCATTCAGTGACTCATAAAGCAACAGGATATGCAAATGTCTAATGGTGCACTTTTGCACCATGTGCATGTTTTTTTTTTTTTTATTTATTGAGTGGTTTTAATCTTACACCATCTGTGCTCCGCACCATTCCTGTCAGTATACACAAAAAAACCCCCACAGCTCTTCTCAGTTAACACTCAAAAAAGAAAAGCCGAGACAAATATCACGGAATAAGCAGAAGTGTGCGCTTGCCTGCTTTGTTTGACGTATGACCCAGGCTCCTTTTTGACAGGACAGTATGGTCTGTTACGGTATCACCCATCTCAGTCTGCTGCAGATACTGTACACAGACAACCAGAAATCCTGCTGAATATAAACAGCTCAGACATCTTCTATAAGATTACATTTCAAGATGGTCTGTTACTGGCGCAGAACTCATAAAGATGGTCATTGTGTGTGGTAGATTATAATGGACAATTTGACCAGCATGAAAGTGCTCAAAATATATCTGCATTTAGGTAGGTCATTAGCTAAACCAGTTTAGCTATTTTTTTTTTTTCACAATTAGTTTGAAACAAGTTGATGGGACTGGGGCTAGTTGTCATACTTTTTATTCTAGTGAATATTTCTCATGTCAGGAATATTTCTGAAAAGTCCATTTCTGTATAGGGGGACATACCTTAATGTCTTTTGACTTATTCAAAATGGGAACCCCGCTATTAAACAGGCTATTTAACAACTTTTCAGCAAAACTAAAAAACAGTAACTGTAACTGAATCACCAGATAATTCCACCAGTAATTCATTAAACAGTAAAAAATTGCACTTAATTGAGCTGGGCAATGACACTATTGCCTTCTGTTGAGCTGCTTATAGTAGAACTGAACTTGTTTCATAATTGATGATCAGAGCCGGGTAGATTACTTACAAATTGTAATACATTACTGATTACACATTATGAAACATGATGAAAACTGTAATCTAGGTTACTCATTTTAGGTAATTTATTCTGACTAATTTTTAGATAACTTTTTTAAACATACCATTGAATGTACCATATTGATATAAAAAAAGCAATGAGAAAATAATATTCCTTTTTTTTCAACATCATAAAATGGATTAAAAATTACATTAAACCAGGATTTTCCAAACTTGGCTTAATATAAGAACAGTAGTGGGTTTGTGAGTTGATACAAAGCTAATCATTAATTAAACACTAAAAACTGAAATATTTGTTTACCTGCATGCCAATGTGACCGTTAAGCGACATCGAACAGTAAACATGCCAATGTGTTGTTAAATTATTGAAACATTAACTTCCTCAGAGATATAATTTGAAAAAGTGGTTTTGGCTTACAACAACATTTGGGAATCCATTTAAAAGCAGAATTAGGGAGAATCATTAAATTATGAATGATTTCCTGCCATTGTGTGAATAATATGTAACCATGTAATCCATAAAAAGTAACTGTAATCTGATTATGAGCACTTGATTTTTTAAAATCTGATTACATACTGTAATCCAGATTACATGTAATCAGTTACTACACCCAGCTCAGTTGATGAACTTTACAACACATTATTAGTTCCTGTTTAGAGGACATGCATTCTCCAACAAGCCATAGGACTCTTGATTCCAAACATTACATTAACCGAGATATAATTCTTCAGACAGTTTTCCCAAGTGACAACTAACTGCTACTAATGCAGTTCCTTCAAATTCCATCACTTTTAAAAGACACAACATTTTAGAAGGACATTTGATGTACATGTATTGTGGTCCAAACCTCAATTCTCTCTTTGCTCTCTTCTTCTTCCTGCTGATCGGTTTGTTTTTCTGCCCCCTCTACGGGTTCTTCTAGTGTCCCGCTTTGCTCCTCTCTCTTGCGGACCACCTCAGCTCTCAAACCCTCCACCTCAGCCTGCAGGGCCAGCACATGGTACAGGGAGATCACAGACAGGGAAGAGGAGGTGATGGCAGCAATCACCAGCACTAGAAACAGCCAGGGCAACCTTCTCCTTTCACCCCGACCTGGACCAACATCTTCAGCAGGCATGGTGGAAACAAACTTTTAGAAAATATGGTTAGTAGTGAACAAATGTAGCCTGAACAGCAAATATACAGATTCTGAAGAAGCTCCATTTCTTTAAGGATCTCAACCCACCTCAAAACATCATCCTTACAGTGAGAGGTTTCTACTCAGAAAGAAGCCTGTCTGGAGTTTTTTGTTATGCCTGCTGAATCCAATTCACCTTCAAATGGCATGAATATTCCTCTGAAGCACTTAGCATACATTTCTTTAAGAAAAATCCTGGATCAGACTCTGACACATAACTACCCTTCCTCTTCAAGCTGATATTTGTTGATGTGGTATAGAGGAAAACTCCTGGGATCAGTTGAAGTCAAACTTAGTACAAAAGCGACTGCACTCACCAAAAATGTCCTGTCTGCAACAGTTCTCCAGCTAACAGTCTGGTTTTTGTGTCCCTTTCCTGCCAAGCTGTCCACACCCACAGTATTCAACACTGCACTGCAACCGAAAGTTGCTTTGTCACCACTTGCTTTGTGGCTGTTCCGACAAACTGCGTCAAATGTGCAAAGATAAATAGCAGATAAATGAAAATGTCATACATAGACGTGTTAACCATAAATGAATAGCACATAAGAAAGAATATAAATGACAGTGACAAGCAAAAGGAAAGCTATTCTTGGTATAAAATCAAGCATAAACAAAAAAAAAAACATCAGTTTCGTTCTTTTTAAAGTGGAGTTTCCACAGTGAAAACCAGAAACAGGAACCATCGGCTTCAAAGTACAAATAGACTCATGCAGCCAAGTTATCAGAAGGGTTTGATTTCTTTATTGCATGTCACCACACAGAAAATAGAAAGTGTGATTCAATTGTATGTACATGAACAAATTATTTGAATAGAAAATCCATAGCTCAAAACACGAATGTCGAAAGAATAAGAAAACCCTCCTTGCACATTCAGAACTGAATCTTTCCGCTCTGCTATTTACTGTAAAAAGCAAATATAAAACATGAGCAGCACTTTATATTATTTCATATATTCAGTTTATGAACAAGATGAAATGAGATTTCAACATACAAACTAGCCCCAGAGAATGGCCAGAACATGCCAATGGTGTGTTAGTCAAATCTAGTAAACTCTTAAGTAGTATTTTCATTATTTCATCATATTTCAGCATCTTTGTTTCAAGGTTTACACTCATCCACACAGACATTCAATAAGGTATCATGGCACGTCACTTTGAGTTCAACTAAATGTCACATTGCAAATCATTTTAATTAGAAATTATTTCCTATAAGGTTTAGAGGCAGTTCTTATGAATTAGTCCTATACGATCAATAATGACCATTACGAATATTTCTTTTAAAATCAAAAGGCCAATAAACTGATGCACAAAAGTATCTTATGTATAGAAACCATCCAAATGCTGACGTCTTGGGAACTTTTTCTCTTGCATTGGCTGGTTCCACTTCTTACTCAATTACAGCTGTCCTGTCACTACATAACTAATAACCATAAATAATACTAGACATAACTGAAGACATCTAAAGCTCAGCTGTGCTACTATACAATCTCGTAAGCACCCTTGAGAACGACGGGGCCCAAAAGAGCCCGTCAAATCCCGAAAGGTGGACTTTGGAAGCCTGACATAACCTCTGGATTGAAGATAGCAATATTAGCATGCAAACTGACATAGGATCACTCTGCCTTGAAATCTGTCATCTTAAAATTCACAGGCAGTTTTCACGCATTACAACAGACGTGAGCGTAAAAGTGCATCAGAGCTAAACGAAATGTGCGGAGCAATCTAAAGCATGCAATAATTACAGACTTGGATGTTCATGGATCCAACACTACATAATGGGCCAGTTTTGCAAAGTCCACCGTTCACTTTTAATGGGTGCTTGACAGTCAACCATCAATGTGAGACTACAGAAACACAAACCTCATGTCCTTACCCCTGATTCGATACATTAAATAGTTGAGAAAAATGATAATTTTGCCAGCATTTACTCTTCCAAACTGGTATGATTTTCTTTCTTCTGTGGAACACAAAAGGAGACATTTCAAAGGTGCTGGTTGCTCTTCAACTACGATGAATGAGGACAGAATCTTTCAAGATGACTTGCGGTCTATATTCCATAGACATATAATAGCTTTCTATAAGGAATAGACTGAAATTTTATTTGTTCTTCACTGAATCATCATGAGTTCATGAGAGAACCTTCTGAATGAATCTGTTTTGCAACAAATATCTCATAATTCTGACAGATTCAACTCACTGGAAAAGAGTTTTTAGTATACAGCAAAACTTCTCAGCTGCCTTTCATTGTGTGACTTAAAAATTGGCCATATGACTGGCCATATGTTGAAGATCCTTAGACTTTTATTAATGAGTCCTTTTGAAGAAGCTTGAGTCTTCTACCTGCAACTGCATGGAAAAGAGTGACTAATGTACTCTTCAAAATTTCTCCTTTTTGTTCCACTGAAAAAAAAAAAAGTCATACAGGTATGGAAAGGCATAAATGGTGAGTAAATGATGGCAATTTTCATTATTTCATAATTTTTGCGTTAATTAACCCTTACATTGTTGTGAATGTTTCTGCTTTTTAAAGGAAAATGCAAGAAAATGGATGTGACAGTGCAACAGTCACCAATGGGCAGGTTTTTCAGCATGATCCAAACAAAACAGGTCACTGGTAAAGATCTGATGTTAAGCACTTGACCTTATTAAAAGAAGGGAAATATCTTATTTGCTAGTTGTGCAAATGGACTGTGCTTGGAACACTGTCAAGCAGCTGCTATGTGCGATTTCACTCTAACTTTCAGAAGATCACTAAGCCTGAGAGAGAGTAAACAAACTTTAGGCTTGTTGTGTTGGTATTTTCATACAGTGCTCATAGTGAACTGTAGCCCACATGAAAATCAGTATAGAAATCTATACTTCTCACACACAGCTCCATATGCAAATCCAAAACATGGGATCAAACCACAATGAGCCGATTTCCTGAGTGGATTTTAAACCTTCTGTAAAAAAGAAGGCAGTGTGATAAAATAAAGCTCCAAAACATTACAGTCGGGTACAGAAGATTGAATGCATGAAATGCCATAGACAAAGATGAGTGAACTAGGATCAGTTGCCCCTGGTCCATTTAACTGTATTCACTGGAATTTAAAAGGCAAAAAATTATTTTAATGAGCCCTCTGTTCTATTAAAAATAAAAGCCGAGAAAAAGCAACAACTCCATCGACATTCATAAATGATATTGTAATTTTCCTGTCGTTCTGTAAAATAAAATAAAAAAGACAATAATAATGATAATATTAATTACCCTACAACAGCTCTATTAATACATTTATTATAACATTCACACATAGTGTTCAAATTGGGATCTGTAATATA